ATAATAGAATTTACCTTATACGCTATTAAATATTAAATTACTTAATACACATAAAGTGCTCAGAAAAGTGCCTGACATAGTAACCACCTGAAATGTTAGCCATTATTCTCAGGATCTGCATGCTTGAAAATAACTATACATTTTTTTCATATTTCAATATTGCTTGATACAGAATTTTAATTCAAAACCATGTTCCCTAGATTCTCATATTAATAATAATTACATTATTATTATTTATATGTTAAATAACCATATTTTCCTTTTTCCCAACTTGAATTTACTTTTCTTGGCTAATTAACTGCCTAAAATCTGGCAGCCCACTTAGGCAAAATTTAATTGGGACAAATAGTTTTCTATTTGTTCTAGTTTAATACAAACCTGGGGGTTGTTAGTCAGTTGCCAGATCTTCAGACAAATGCACTTTCTGTCATTCGTTTATAATGTAAGCAAAACAAATGTGATCAAACAAAACTAGTAATCAAATATCATGTCGGTGGTAACATCATTAGACCATGTTCTAATACTTTCTCCTAACTATGGTACTTATCTTCCCACTGTCCACTTCCCAAGCAGCTCTTTGTCTTAAGAGTTGAATCAGTAAATAGAGTTCAAGAACTTAAGCATCCAGCATTCAAATAAGTGTTAATTAGAGATGTGCAAGAAAATCCCAAATGCTTTTGAATTAAGCATGCTAATAATGTTTAACCAGATCCCATTTTTAAACCATAAATAAATGGATTTATTTTCACCTTAAATAAGACTGAGGAGGTGAATTGAACTTTTTACATTGGACTAAAACATAAAATATCCATTAACCTAATATAGATCTTTATGTTACAACTCTATGAAATAATATGAAAATATGTAAATATACATATTCAAATAAAAAATTAAAGTTTGACATAAAGTAGGCACAAAATGTCTACTAGTGTAAAATTAGAAACACCAAATGCATTATAAATTAGAGTACTTATTATTGGTTAGAATATGCTGATAATTAATCTAAAGTCATGCACGTAATTCCCAGATGTACCAGTTTCCTCTGCTTTGTTACAGAGACACAAGCTGAATCACAATCCCCAGCTGTCTTGGAAGTGTGCATTATTGATCAAGAGGAGTACACAGCCAACGTGAGGAAAGATGAGTCCACTTCCATTACAATAACACAAAAAACAATTCTGAGCACATTTGCTACAGAGAGCGGGTTAGCAGCTTAATTTTTATTTCCGTTTGGCACTGAGCACGTGTCTCTTGTAGACAGATGCTTAATGATAGTTCTTTGTAATGTTAATAATGATGAAGAGAAGACATACTTTAAAGCCATATAGCAGCTTTCCAAAACAGGTAATTTTAAGATTGTGAGGTACGTGAACAATACAGCCAGTTCATCAGATAGTTCCTGAATCTTTTGGGGCTTAAATTATAAAGTATATATTAAAAGTTCTGAATTGGAAAAGCATTGCATGTCTTGCTCTATGACAAAATGTAAGAGGAATTAAGTACGACTAATCTCATCATGATGTAAAATATATATATGTATGTATATATGTATAATATGTGTATATATATGTTATATCGTGGTGAGATTGTACACGCATATACTCTCTCCATATATATTCATATTCACAAATATATATATATTTTATATATATATACACATATATCTGAGATATCCTTCTTTGATAGGTCAGGTAGGAAAAATAATGGTAATTTCTGACATGGTATATGGCTCAATATTCAGTGAGTAGGCCAAAAATGATAGAATCTTTATTCATAGGAGAAAAACTCCTAAATAGTCTAAAAAATAGTTTTTACTTTTATCTTTAAAAAGCAGTCACTCCCTTATCTGCTGCCTAGAATCTTTCCCCTACTTATCATTCCCCTTGTTTCTACTTAACATCTTATTCTAAGGCCAAATAAAGAAACTGCCCTAAAGGAAATCAGATTGCAGCCATGGGCATGTTGCGATGCTGTGTCCATAAAATTAAAAGTATTAAATGTAACCAGAGAGAGAGGAAGATGTTACCACTATCCTTAACCTAGTGAGACTAAGCAGAGGAAACAAATATTAAAAAAATGTAGGAAGTGCAGAAAACCTGAATACATTACAGTAGAGGAAGATGTTTTCTCATATTACCTATTAAATATTTTAGGCATCCTGGTTCTGTTTCATAGTATTATTAGTAAGTTACTATGGTTTTAGAGTAAATTAGTTTTTGGGGATTCACATGATAATTTAATCCTCTTATATAAAGAGGATATTTCAAGTAGAAAAAATTAAATTTTTGGAGTGTTCACACCATATGCTATGCTCTCTGCTAGACATTTTATAAACATATCTAATTTAATCCTCATTAAAAAACACAACAAAAATCTTATAAGGAGATTAATATCATCCTCATTTAATGACATGAAAAATAAGGCTAGGTAAATTACGTAAGTTGCCCAAGGGCTCTAAACTAGGATAGCCCTCAGTTTTAAACAAATGATGTACATATGGATTTTATGACTTATCAGTGCCAGAGTTTGTTTATTGTTCCACAGTATCCAGTTTTTCTGTTTCCCATGATAGTACAATATTCAGCTGGGTATATTGTTGCCCAGCAGGACTACATTTTTGCAGACACCGTTTCAGCTATGTGTGGATAGATGACCAAATTTCAGCATGCAATTTCTTATGCATGCAATTGCTGGGTTCTGTCTTATCTTCTTCTTTCCTTCAGGCTGGAGTTAGGATGTAATTGCAACACTAGAGCAGCCATATTGAACCATGAGATGGAAACCATGTTTTAAGAATGGCAGAAAACAAGATACAAGGAAATTCAGTCTCTAACAGCATTAAGCTGATGTAACAGTTTTGGACACACTGCGTAGACATTTCTGTTCATTTAAGTTATTGTACCTTTGTGTATATTTGTATTTCATAGTGTCTGTGGTATAACTCGTGGTTAAAACAGCCTGCATAATATAACTAATATAACATTGTTTATATTTTTCTCATAGATGACTACATTTTTTATGGTGAATTCAAATTAGACTTATTCTACCTTACTATGATGATCATGATTTATGAAGACATTTTTCTTGTTATGCTAAAGAAGAATATACAAAGAAATCAAACTTTGGTTTCATCATTGTAGATATTATAATTTAAAAATATATTAATGTAAATGTATTAATGTACATACGATTAAAAACAATAATATTTTATGTATCTAAACATAAGTCTATATAATAATTGCATGTTAAGAGACAGACTCATATCCACATGTTGGTGACAACTGTAACATTAGATGATACCTGTCAAAACTGCCCCTCAGATGTCAAAAATTGAAATACATATACACACAACAAAAAGAACAAAAGCAACTATAATTGCAAATAAAACAAACAGTGGAACACAAACGATTTAAATAATGAATAAATTGCATAACAGAAATTTCATATAGATCACGAAAACCTTTTATCTAGCACTGTCGTATCCCTTGGCATAACAAAGTGGCAAAATTAGTCAAGTTGTTTCCTTCGAAAATAAAAACTACTCAAGAAATAGACATATAGCAGAAAATAAGAGCAAACAGAGAGACCACTACAGATGGTTCATCGTGATGAGGATGCTTCCACAACAAAAGTACTAAGTTAGGTGTCATCATATAAAAATAATTTGTCCTTATTTTAGCATTGATATTTCAATTTCCTCTTTACTAAATTTACTTTGACTACATATAATATTTAGAGAGCATTCATTTTACTTTTTGTAATTTTTCAGCAACTGAAATATTAGCATGTGCATACATATGCAAACATTTTTAATTTTAAGTACTTTTCTTTAAGTAAAAAAACGCCAAAATTCTTCAAATGATGTCATTATTTTAAAATTATGAATTTTAGTGACTTGGGAAGTCATTGCTGTATTTCATATTTATGCAGTTAGATAATTACTAGGTGAGCAATAAAAACAGTTTGTGAAAAGTAAAAAAAAAAATTTAAACGATAAGATGGCATTCTGTCAATTTTAGAGGGATCTTTTATATTTAAAGACATTAAATGCCCTAAAATAGGTTTTTTTAAAATATAAAAGTATCCAATAAAACATACTTTAAATCTATTTAAGAAATATTAACTGCATAGTACTGATGCAAAGTAGTTGTCATACCTATATATCTCTATGTATATTTACATAATATGCATCTATAGCTATATTCATATCTAGTTCAGTTATACTAGTGTATGAGTGCATTCTTCCTGTTTTAGAACTTCCTAATTAGCTTTTTCTCTTTCTCAATAGGTCAAATCCAGGCGAAAACACAATTACATATAATATCGAGGACTCCTGACAAACAGATATATCATTCAACCTCATTTTTTGATTTTCACATGTTTTTCTCCAGTTAAGGATCTGCATGAATCCATATGTGCAGCGCACCATTTCACATTGGACTACTCTATAATTGTCAAAGTGGGACTTTCCAAAAGAAGAAATAACTGTTTTCTACAATAAAGCAAAGTACCAGACCCTGCCTTGCACTGTCAGGAGATCTGCCCTTGCTTTCTACCTGATTGCACACTAAAACATCTGGAGAGAAGCCACAGGCAGCGACAGTGATGGGCAGTGACAGTTTTCTCAACAGTGTTCCTGCTCTGAAGATTGTAGAAAGATAGGGGCACCTCTATGTCAGAGGTTTGAAGGAAAAATTCTTGTTTGACAACTATGACATGCAGTGAAAATTCTTATGATTTGGTTGTTTACAGCATTTCGGAAAACGTCAGGTTTGCAGTAAATATCAATACCAAAGGATAGATGCGCTTTCTTGTTTTTTCTGTAAGACTGAAGTAAGAATTTTACTTTGATTTCTGTAGATGGTTCACCACATTTTATAGCGAATATTTATCTATTATTTATTTTAGCCAACTCTAAATCAAAATGATTTATAATATTGTTTTTTTAGAAACTATAATTAAATGAAATGTAATAAAAATGCTGATATGTACAATCTTACCAGGTGAAGATAAGGCATAGTAATGTAGATATTAAAATCAAAACTTGATTAAACATTGCAGACTGTGTGCGCTGAATGGCTCTGTGTAGATCATTCTAAAATAATACAGAAAAAGTATATTTAAATTTTGATACACACTAAATGTTCATGAATTTCATTACATTTAGTACTATGTGTTACATTTCAACAATCTTGTGCATATTCAATACATATACTTTAAATGGATATAGCAGCAAATTTTCATTTTTGCCTAGTTCTAAATATATCTTATTATAGCATTCATATTACAAAGATAATACTGTGGGAGATCACCAAAGCACCAAATTTCAGTTTACTCGCCTTACAAACATCTGTAGAGATGTTGCACTGACTCCCCAAAAGCCATCCATGGAAAGCATGATTTCTTATGTGAAATTCTAATTTTAAAAATCAGAAAATAGGGGCTGGCCTGGTGGCATAGTGGTTAAGTTCGAATGCTCCGCTTCAGCGGCCCAGGGTTCACAGTTTCAGATCCTGGACATGTACCTACATACCACTTATCAAGCCATGCCGTGGCGGCGTCCCATATAAAGTAGTGAAAGATGGGCATGGATGTTAGCCCAGGGCCAATCTTCCTCAGCAAAAAAGGGAAGGATTGGCAATGGATATTGTCTCGGGGCTAATCTTCCTCATTAAAAGAAAAAAAAAAATCAGAAAACAATAAATTCAATTAAGGGGAAAGTAATAGTAGGTGAAACTACAATCATATCTCATTCTCTGAATCAGGAAAAATAACATGAATTATGTTAGACAATGTATCATAAAAACAAAAAAATTAAGTAGCCAATGAACAAATTTTTTAAGTTTAATTTCATTAACACTAAGAGAGATGTAAATTCAAGACATATTTTTTAACTTTCCATTTGAAAGATATTAAAAAATAATAATACCCACTGCTGTTTATGCAAAATATTTTTACACAAAAAAATGAGCACTTACATATGATACTGCTCATGTAATTGTTACAAATTTCTTGAGGGTAATTTGGTACTATGAGTCATAATTCATAAGTATGTCCTTTCTATTTCATTCATTCATTCATTCACTTAATGAATATTTACTCAATAACATAATTTCTAAAAATTAACCACATGAAAATCATCAGAGACAGAAATCAATATGTATGTATGTTCATCTTTATTGCAAAATTATAACAGTGTGAAATAATGAATGTTCATTAGTATTAAAATGACTAAAATATGCAATGACAATGGTTAAATAAATTGATCAAAACTATACAGTAGATTCAAATGCCTTCATTAAAAATGATTTGAAAAGGGATATTTAATGACACAGGAACTTGTCCATTACACACGAGTGTATGACAAAAAACTCAAATTATAAAATTGAACATACAACATAATTTCATGTATCATATGTGTGCATGGTTTTTCACAGAAAATATTAGAAGGATATTAATTATTACCAGTATTTAGTCTGTATGGTAGATTTGTAGGTTTTCATAATTTTTTACTTTATAGTTTTCTGTTCATCTCAAATTTTTTATAATAAAGTTTTAACAGTCTTAAAATCAGTATTACATGAGATAAATAACTTCACAACATAAAATCTCAACCATCCATTATTTTATCTCTCTCTACCACACATTTACGCAGAACTGTTTTTGAAAACAAAAAACTAAGTTGACTAAAATTTCACCTCTCATCCCCTACTTTCTTCTGACAGCAATGTTAAAGAGCAGAAAAATGAATAAAATTTCAGCAACCAGCGAGAGGAAGAGAAGCAAAATATAGAAATACAACAGAAATTGAATCCTAAATTAATATTGCAAAGCACTGCTTTTACTCACGATGACTGACTAATGATTCCTCTCTTGGTTACGTTATTTTTTCCAACAGCTAATAACACAAATTAGCCAAGAGGTTTATTTTTTCCTGGCGTATGTTTTTCATTAGCAATTTAGGCAATCTATATTTAGTGAAACGGTTTTATTTTTGGACAGTTAAGACAGCCCAGTGTTTCTGCAAACCACTCCACTTGCTACATTCTCCCATCCTTTGGCCACATACTTTCATGAGACTCCAGTGGTTACTCAATATAAATGTTTAGAAACATTCATCTGGTTGTGAATACTCAAATGCTATTCAAATATTCCTTTTGGTCAAAACTTTTGTCATAATTTCACAATTTTTTAAAAGAAAAACAAGTTCACCTCTAAACAAATTTAATTTCCATGTAGTAAAATTAACAACACTGAGCCCTTACTATGTTTATATTAGATACAATATTATATATATATATATATAAACATACACACACACATACATATATATGTATGTATATGTAATTTCATTTAATTCTCACAGCAAGTCTGTAATGTAGGTAGTTTTATTCTCTTTTGAAGATGAAGAAATTAGCAAAGAAGTTAAATCATTCACCTATCATATCAGAGTACTTAGCTTATGGTGGACTCATATTAACATCTGTAGAATGAAGGACTAAATAGCAAATGTCTTACAGCTCACTTACAAGTACTGAAGCCTATAGTAAGCATGTTTTGATCATAGTTATAAATCAGTCCTCCCCAACAGGGTCAGCCTTGAGCAAAATGCAACTCTGGCACATCTCCGAGTTCTGCATCTCTTATTTCCAGCTTCCCTTTCTCCCTCCTAATATCTCCCTCACAACCCAGCCCAACCCAATCTAAAAAGATGACTTTAAATGAGGGGCTTCCAGCTCCAGTACGGAGCCTTATAAAACCCATAGATTTTTATGGAATGTGAAACTACCCACAGTTAAGAAAACTTTGACAACACTACCAACTGAACCCTTAAAACCAGGGGTCCCATTATGCATCAACAGATTGCCTTGGAAGAGAGGCTATTTGTCTTCAGAAGACTGGCTCACTAGTTGGACTGGTCCAAATAGCAGTGAGCTTTGGTTTGATGATATCTGGAAAATCTGAACCACTTTGTTTACCAGGTCATAGGGTCTTACAAAGGTAGTGACTTCGCAATATGGGCATTTTATAAGTTTTCATTCTGATTAGGATACAAGCAGACTTAAAGTCTATTAGCTTAGACATTTATGCAACATATCACTTTAATTATTTAACAGTATTTTACCAAAACTCTTTCATTTTTACCAACATTTAAATAAATCTATTTACTAAGATACTAAATTAATTTGAAAGCAGTTTAAAAACAAAACATTTAGAAGTTTAATTATAACTAAATAAATTCAAATAGTATGTGCTTATATTTTATGGAAGAAAGCAAAATGAGGAAGTACAAGACTAAAACCTCACATCATCTTCTCTCCGTGTTTAATCTGAGCATTGAAAGTAAGTAAGAAATAATGGAGGAGTGAAAAATACTTTTATATTTGCACTTGACTTTTATACTTACAATCATATTTTCCAAGGCGTGTTTGGCAAGCCAACAGTTTAGAAAGACCGGAACAAATAGATTCCTTAAGGAAGGCCAGAATATCTGAAAAACAAATCAAAACTAAACTTTTATCTCAAAGCAAGAAATCATATCCAACCGATTGAAAAGAAATGCAAAACAAAAGTTATGAAAGATAGTATAATGATTTAAAACGTGACAAATACTTTAAACTCATTAATGAAATGCAAGAAGCAGATATGATCTTTTCATTCATTATCTAAGTCTTACTTAGGGGAAAATTCTTTGGGAAATTATTGTAGAAGCAGAAAGAAAATAATAAGCTCTCACTGGGAGTCAGCTATAACTATGCTAATTCTATCGTTAAATCTTTAGTGTGACAGTTTATAACAGACATCACCTCTCTCTTCTCTGCAAGTTGGGGTGAAAAGTAGGAAAAAGGAGATAAGGCTTTGCCATTTTATAACATTACCACTTCCTCTCTTTGGATTCAAATATTTTAAGTGGCAGTGGGGAACCATATTCAATTGGAATTTTACTTAGCCTGGTTATCTAATTTAGTTGCTCCTCTAGATAAATCACTCAAATTAAAATAATTTTCAAAAGTGAGCAACAGCTTCAGATAATATCTACTTATTTTCATAATTTTCCGAATAAAACTCAAATAGAGTGTTAGAAAGCACATTCCCAACAGACATTATTATACCTCTATCAAACAGAGATTAAAGTCTGATTTTGCAATGGGAAAGTGCTGGTTCCATATTTATGGGACCACAGTTGAACAGGATCATCGTGGAATTGGTACTCCACAGTACAGTGATGAAGAAACAAATTGCTGGTTGTTGGGCTGCTGGCAACTTTCTTACGAAAGAGAGAACTGGACTTAGTAAATCCTATGATTAAACTAGAGATAAATATACTCTCAGCAGGAGAAACGTTTATAAATACTTAGTTCCACTTGATTTCTTTTTTGTTGTTTAACTCCAGCATACACACAAGAAATGGAGTGATTAATTTCTAGTCAGTTTAGACAACATTGACACTTGTTTAAATGGCACCTTTAGAGCATATATTTCTAAAAAGCATTTCATTTTGCTATTGTACTAAATCTCATTAGTTTTCATTTAATTTCACAATCCAGTTATCCAACTGATTTGACTATTTTTTAACACCATGATTCTAACCAAAGAGAAATTCACTTATCTGACCTAATATATTATTTATTAGCATTTAGAGTTAAAGACTTTACTTAAGACTAATGATAAAATTATTTATTTTAAAGATTCTTTTAGGACTTACTGAGATAATGAAGGGAACGGCATTAATTATTTCCAAGATGAAGGGTATTCGTAAAATCTGTTCCCAGATGTTTCCCTTCCAAGAAAAAATGAATTAAAATGAAAGTCAATTATACTGAATTCCATTAAAGGGAAAAAAGACAGCACTCAGAATTTCTCTAGCAAGAAGGATGTTTACATTAACAGAATACCACATCATTATATGAAGATGTACCAATGACTTTTAGAGATCATTTTTCTAAATGTAATTGTGCTCTCTCAATTTTCTGGTAAGTTTAAGAAGTAAAACTAATGTTTATAGTAATCCTTGAATATTGAATATTGATCATACAATATTTTATGGAAGAAAAGTTACTGGTAAGAATAAAACATATTAAAAACCTACAGAATCAATGAAAAAGTGACAAGCTTATTTTTTTACTATAATAATTATGTTCAAAAACTGTAAAGTATATTAAATAGTTCGTAAACACACACGCTTGTTAACGATGTTCATTGGTATTAACACTGTCTTTATGTTAATAAAACTAAAAGGAAGGGCATTTTCAATCATCTAAATTCTAGTCTCCCAACCCACACAGTACAACAATATTATTCAGGACTGGCCACATAATTTGCAGGAACCAGTGCAAAATGAAAATGCAGGGCCTCTTATTAACAAATTATTAACAATTTCAAGAAGGTGACATCCATCAGAACATTAAAACAAGAACAGGCCCTTCTAATTGGGCAGCTCTGTCCAACTGCACAGATCACACACCCATGAAACAGACCCTGATATTAATAGGTCATCACTGAAACTTCCTTGAATGGTGTCCAATGAAAAAGAACTCAGAGCTTCCTAAAGCAGCTTATTCTTCCATGAAGAGATCTATGTAGTAGAAAGGCAATTTGAAATCTGGCTCCCCGTAATTTCCAATTATTTTATAACACTGACTATAAAATTGGGAGTCTTTCTTAATTTTCCTTGAGGTCCCAAATGCTTAAAATATTACAGTGATGTAAAATACCTCCACATCACAAAGCGAGGCTCTAGATCAGCTATTGTCTATGTGCTGACATTAAGTAATAGGTCTTGTTATCATTAGTTCACCATCCATCTCCAGGCTATATAAAAGTGGTAGGAGGGGAGCAGGTGGAAGAAATAGAAGCAATGGAAACTCCTCTGTATAGAGATGTTAGAGGTGCCCTGGTACTTCTCTCATCACTTCAAGGTAAGTGAGAAGGGCTCAAAGGAACCACTTAGAGAGCCTGGCTCAGACATAGAGACTGTGTTTGGCTAACGCCTAAAACGTGAAAATGAGGAGAGAGCACAGCAAACAGAAAGAGGGCTGAGATGAGAGCAAGCCACAATTATGCCAGTTTTAAGACAAAGGTACTTGCCTTCTGGGAACCAGATAAAGACCTTAAAGAACGAAACCTACCATCATTTTTAAAAAGTTTACACTCAGGAAGGCTATGTGCCTGAAGGGGAAATGGCACCGCAACAAACGGGGGACCTCAGAAGCCCAGAGTCCGCGTCAGAGCCCTAGTGGCCAGCCTGAGGCACTGAGGCAACCAGGGAGCTTCAGCCTGAGGCCTCAGGAGGACCACAACAGCCCTGCTCATATCTGCCAGGCAGAGCAACCCAACACCAGGCAACTTGAGCCCGTCAGGCAACTTCATTCCAGACACTAACTTCACTTCCTTCCCTGTGCCTCCTCAGCCCTGCAGGGGCCCAAATCAGCTGCCATCAAATAAGAGAGCAGGTAGAAATAGGAGAGAGCCCCCACGATGATTCCCTGCCCCATGGAGTTCTGAGCTGAGGACAAACGAAAGCCTTAAATTGGATGAGAATTTTAAATCTATATATGTGTATATATTAATCATAATTTCTTAAATACTAAACAGAGATTTGCTTTGCAATTGAAGAGACTAGAAAAACTATGGAACCTGCCCAAGGTTTCATCTGATCAGCATGGATCAGAAGGAGGATGCATGGATTTGAAGAAGTGTAGGAAGACTTTCCTACTTGCACTGAGTCAGGCCTGTTCACTCCACCAGTTATAATTGATTTCAATTATGCTAAGTTTTTTTCTTATTGTGCAAGTTAATATTACCATTTTTTTCATCAGTTTTTTTACATGACTCCATTTCCAGAATGCTTAATATTTGGCTTACTCTTTCCTTGCTGTCTTTTTACTTGTCACTGTATATCTCTCCTTGGTGTCAATGATTGCTCACAGGAAAAGAGACTGATGTGACCAGTAAGGAGAGGAGAGTATGCGGACAGTTACCACTGGTGGAAAGATCTTTCTACTGCAAGATTAGCATTAGGAGTTTTCTTAGCTGTGACACACTGGATAAACTTAGTTCACAGTACACAAAAACCTTTCATGTCTCGGATGGCGCTCTTCATTTCCATTTATAACACATCAATTTGATTTTTATGATTTTTTCTTGAACTATTAAAAAAGTCTCATAACTGATATCAGACTTAGTTGGGTTCATTTCTGAATTATCTTCCACATTAAGGCCAGAGGATTCTTTCTAAAATGCCAAATTTCTGTTGCCTAAATAATAACATCCAAAATCCTCATTATATTCTATGAAGCATCATAATTTGGACTCTGGCTATTGGTCTGTTTTGTACCTACTGTATTCCTATCTCCATCTTGAATTCAGCCACAGCTTCGTCCACACCGAATTTTATACAGTTTCCTGAGCAAGTGAGGCTATTTCATACTTTTATAACTTTGCTCAACTTCTCCCTCTGCTTGGAACGTCCTACACCCCAACCTGCCTTCACCACAATCTCCTTGATGAGTGTTTGTAACATTTTATAGAACTTATTTGTTTATATGCCTGTTGGGGCTCAATAAGTATGTTAATGAATAAATGAAACTACCAAATATTTTATACATACTCTGCTCCTCCTTGGTATAATTGTTTTATTTTTTGAACTTAAGTATTTATATTTCTTTCTATTGGATCCAAACGGAAACACTGGAAAGAATTTTATTGTTTACAGCCTTCCTGAATGTAGTTATATACAAGTTGTTAAACTTGTAACCACAGAGCTCAATAGAAATGATCTGGAGGAAAGCATTTCACAAGTACCTGGCTATATACCCATCTTAGGTAATTTCATCTGTGTTTCAACTTCAACTTATTATCAGTAATAAACCAATGACTTCCTGTGTTGTATCTCTAGCCCAGATCAATATTGTATCTCTGAGATTCTGTTTTAGATCTCCACTGCTTCACATGGATGCCTCAAAGGCACGTTGTGAGTAATATGTCTAAAAGGAAAATTGACTTCCCCAGTAACACACACCAAAAATCCTGGAGAAACTCTTTACATCTTCCTTTCACATTACCTAAGTATAATTGGTCAGTAAGACCTCCTGATCCACAAATAGATTTTTGAGTTTGTCTAGATCTCATTCTAACTCCATTCCCGTTCTCTGACCTGGTCTAGCCTCCCAACTGGTCTCCTTCCCTTCATTTTTGCCCCGTTCCAATTCACCTAAAACAATATCGCCAGGATCATTTGTCTAAAGGCACATCTAATATACCAATCCCATGCACCCTCAACCCATCCCAAACCCACTCACTTTGAAATTCTTGAACTGTGCAGCTATTTTCACAACAAAGACAACAATTCTATTACAACCTAGAAGGTACTACATCATTTGGCTATTGATGACCTTTCCACCCTTATTTTAAAGGTCATTCTTTCCAAAGAACTTTCAGTCCTTAGAATATTCCAGGGCCTTTGCTGTGCTCTTTAAGAGGATTGAAAAATCTTCACCTTCCTTTCCAATTTCATTTTGCCTAGTTAACTCACATACGTCTTTCAGCTCTCAGGTCAAAATCCTGAGTTTTTTGAGACTTTTCTCACCCCCTTATCACACACAATCTAGACAAGATCAGACTCCCACATTAGTTTTTTTGATTCTCCATCAATGTCCTTCACATGACTTTTTTCAGTTTGTATTTATATATTTAAAACAACACTTGATTTTAAATTTCATGAAGTCCATTGAGCATCAATTTAGTTCAGGACTCTATGCTCTGTTCCTAGCACAGTGCTTGACAGCCTGAAGCTCCTAAATGAAAACTGTAACCACATTTTGTCAAACATGCTACTGTTGATTCATAGCAAATGCGTGTGTGTGTGTGTGTGTGTGTGTGTGTGTGTGTGTTGTGGCAATTGAATGAACTTCCCACTGGGGACTAATTTTCATGATCTAAAATTACACAACAGGGCAATGTGCTCATTGTTAAAAATAAATGACTATCTTTTCAGTTATATTCATTATGTTTAATTCTAAGATCTCAAGTTGTCTTCTTAATTTAAAGGTACATTCATAAATTATCTCTCCTAAAATTAGCTACTGAAAAATAAATACAGAAAATATCCCTGGATTTCACTGGCTGTTAGGGAGTCTAACATATAAATCACATGATATAAATCCACATGACAAAAGCAATTATAATGAAAAAAGAGAGCACATTTCTATAGAATGCCACTATAGAGAGAAGCATGAAATAAAATCCAAAAGGCAGGCAGAGTACCTTTCAAAATTATGTTAAATACTTATTTCATTTAGTCTTATTTTCACCAAGTAGATAAAAGACATTAGTCTTCTTCCACAAGGTAACTTCTCAAAGAAAAAAAAAAATTTCTAAGAGGTTGCTTTATCTGTTCTAAATGTGTAGAACTCTCTATGTTCCTCTTCTCATAGACAGAATTCAGTGAAATATAAATAAACCTTAATCCAACCATTCTACAACATTTGGTATGAACATAACTTTCCTTAATCAACAAAAATGCAAAAAAACAGATGATTTTCTAAAATGTATCAGGCTTTTATATTTATCATAAAGGAAAGTGGCAGTTAAGAACTATTATCTAGTTAACTCTAAAAAGCACTTTAAAAATTATAAGACTTATGTTAATTTAGTTGTTGTTAGCCCGGGTTGGACCAAGGGACTTTTTAAAAACATTTTCTTCTTCAATATTAAGAATATATTTAAAATATTTAACAAAAAAGGCTGATACCTTATCTTCTTTCAACGAATTTAAAATAGTGCAGTAACTCTATGGCAGTCTTATTTTGTATATCTGAATGTAAACTCCACAATGTTTAGATTGACCAGTTCCATGGATTTGTAAGCAGAATCACTAGTATCTAGGAGTATCTAGGAGCCCTAGTTCAGATGCTTTATTCTTTTCCAGAAATAACTCCATCATGGTACTAAAATTTCAAAATTGTTGCTTTTTATAAAGTGATTATAGGAAAAAAAATTGTACATTTAACAAAAGCCCTCTAGGTGTGTTGAATTTTTATTTGCAGAGGTTTGAGAACTATGTTGGGGTTTGTTTTGTTTCCTTTTGATTTAATGAATGTGTGTGTATAAATAGAGTTCTATTTTGAAAGCAGTTGATATAGACAAAAGAATAAGAAATTTACTGTTGGGTGAATCACGTGGGTATTTTGCCAAGCAGCTATAAACATGAATGGAATGATGATTTAGGGACAGACCTGCTCTTCTGTATGAGAGAAGATAAAGTTGATGTCAGGGATTTTTAAATCATTATATGCTAACCTCAACATATATTTTAAAAAGTTGTTGCTCTTTTTGCTTTTACTCATCAGTCTTTGTTTTTCAAAAACCGCAGTCTCCATAATAGTTTAAACTGTTTTAATTGTTAAGGATTAAGTCATGCTCATTTTAGAATGTCTAATTTCAAGAATTATAAGATGCTTACAGAATACTATATTTTTTATTAATTTTAAAATATTGCATATACATATATATTGTATACATATCTACATTATCTCTCTATATAAGTATACATATGTAAACAAATGAGAAAAGTGTATGTTAATTTGCTATTAATATTGATATTTCAGAACTGAAAGTATCAAAGAACAATATTAGGTGTGGATACAGTTGCTAATGGAATATCCACTTCTGTGCACTTGCCCTATAATTTTTTAAAAAATCTAATTTGAGAGGAGGAGCTTCTTTGAAGTTCTGCTCTCCAAACTTGCCTTATTTATAGGTCATAAATAGTTACCAATTATATAATTTATTCATTCCAAAAATTTTATCCAACAGTCTATTGAAGGAGTCAAAATAGTTCACGAGTTTGACTGAATTTATGAGAGAAAAAGAAGGTGATTAATAGCAACCTATCCTTCCAATGTCACACAACTCCTTTTTATCCTTTCCTTTGTAACACACAGGATTCAACTACCATCTACTTCTCCTTCATCAAAGCCATTAACGTTTATGAAGGTCAGAATGGAAATAATATATATCATTTGGCTCTGTCTACAAGGTCTTATAATGCTTTCCTTTCATTTTATAAATGGTAGGAAGTAATTAATTACAAATGTCAGCATCATATGACTACAATGGAAAATTATCTTGAATCTGTTTTTTCTTTTAAATGACTTTTTAAATCAAGGCTAAGAGTTCTATTAGCAAAGCACAAAGTTAATTTCATATTACTTTTTAAGTAGAATTTGGAGCAAATACATTCACAAATACAGATTAATAGTTTAGCCAGTTTATACATCTGTACGCACACTTGTGTTAGTAAAAGAGATTTAATCAATTTCCAAAAACACCCACATGCCTAATTTTCAGTATGTCACTTTTCATATATCACATTCAACATTCATCACATCCTTGAATACTAAGGAACTTAGAGGATAAAATCTTGGATATTAATTTACTGATTTTTATTTTGTTCTTCTACGTATCCAAAATCCAGATTAGTCAAGCAGTACATATTTATAGAACACGTATTTTGACAAGGAGATATACTAACAAACCATTAAAAGATCCTTCCTCAGCATCTTAGTCTATGCTGCTCATCACTGAGGTAGTATTTTCTAGGTAATTTAGAGATGATGACTACCCACATATAACCTCTTCCAGCTTCCCTCTGCTAGCTTCAAAATATTCTTTCAAGCACTATGTTCCATATTCTGTGCTCTCAGAAAAGAACAGAATATTATCAAAGCTAATCAATAGACCTCAAGTTCCTATTCCAGCTTATTCTTACTTTTTATAAACCTTGCTTCATTCATCATTTTTTCTTGTCCCATCTACTACCTTCTTTAAATGATTAAGACTTTTTCCATGATTAGGCAATCTTCTCTGGCTCATTCTACTACTTCTGTTGAGCTCCTGCACCAATCAACATTCTTCACTTAACATTGACTTTCAATAGTACTCTTAAAGGTGAATAGCAAATGATCTCCTAAATTGTAAACTCAATGGCCTTTTCTCAGCCTTCTTCCTATACTTGCCATTGTTTGCATGCTTTCCTATAACACTTTTCTTCCTTAGCCATTTCTAACAGCCTATTTTTTCTCATAAATGTCAAATCAACCCATCTATATTTTTTGGAAAGCCCTCATTCTTTTCTTTCTACATTTTCTAATTCATCAATTTCACCTCATTAGATATTGGTATTATTTTCTTTAGATGGAGTTAACAAGAATTAAAAAAAAAAAAAAATGAAGCCAGAGAGAAAGGTGAAAGAGTCTGTAAAGACTTCTCCCTCTAAATTTAGGATTAAAAAGCAGCCTAAGAAATATCTTCAAAACCATATGTTTTAAAAAGTGAGAAAGAAATTTATATACTAGATAAGAGTTCCCCAAAAACATAACCTTGAGTACACTTGTTGATATAGTACATGCAGAAACTGTGAACTGAACATTAGTGATGAATATGACAACCATTCTTATGACTTTCTACCCTTCTTGCCTATGTCTCTGTCTTCTCTGTGGCTCCATTCTTCTTCCAAAAACCACAATAAAAGCATCTCCAACAACATGAGCCTTAGCTTCTCCCTTGGTTATTATTCCATACTCAACAGACTTGCAAGCTTCCTTCACCATCGCTGTGAAAATGCCCGCCAAATCCTGATAAACTTCTCTCTTCTGCAAATCCAAGATCCTCATTTTCAATTGTCTGCATGTCACGTCTACCTGTTTGTCCATAAACTCCTCAAATTCATCATTTCCAAAACTATTTCCATTATTTCATCTATCTCAATGCCAATCTGATTTTTTTTTTCTTCATGTAATTTTTCTTAGTTTTACTGCCACATGCCCAGTCATTCGGACTTTGAAAATCTTAAAATGACATTTGACTTTTCCTTTTCTTCACCTATCTCAACCAATCAGTTGATTTCTTTAGTTTCTACCTTCTTAATTTATCTTGAATCGTATCCGTCTATTCCTTTCACCCAGTCGAACACTCACTCCCAGTTTTCTTTTCATGTTGCAATTGTGTCTGAACTGAGCACACAGCCTCAGTGTGATGTCTCTTTGACCAGTGTTGCACAGACGTTCTAAACTAATACTCCCAAAACTTAATTACAATTATAGAATGCTCAAGTTCAACATCCTCTATCAATTTCCCATTATATGTTGCTATTCAGGCCCTCACAATATCGTCCCAAACTTTTTCCACCAATATTATCCCAAATACCCTATATTCTGCCTAAACTTAAATATTTATTCTTCTTCCAATTTTATATGCATATTCCTTCCTTTATGCCTTTGCTAATTCTATAAACCCCTATGTCCTGTCTTTTCATCTTTCCTTGGTGAAATCACTGATTCAAGGACTCTGCTTAAAGCAGTCAAGTATTTTCTTTTCATCCCATGATATGATCTCTCTATGAGCCTGCATAGGACTTTATTCGCACCTCACTGGAAGTACATATTATACTGTCTTGTATTATTATTATCTGTATAATTTTCTCCTGCCTCACTCCCTTTTTAGATTATAAACTCACTGAGAAAAGAACAATGCACAGTGTGGAGCTCTCCATCCAATAGGAACTCAATAAATATTTGTTAAATTGTTCCAACCAAATAAAGTTTCACCAAAAATTAAGAGAATTCATTAAAATAATTCCTAACAGACATATTTTTGCTCCCTCAATGTTTTTTGTGCAGATCAGGAAAAGAGGTTGAGAACATCAAAAAGCCACACTATTCCATTTGCTTGCCTTAAATGAGCATTCATAAAATGGGTAAATTAACCCATAAGAATTAGTGAAATATTTTTAAGCCACCAAGGGAAACATTACTACATTGCTACAGTTTTATATCACATACTAGAGAAATCCAAAATAATTAAAGTGGTCTAAGAAGAGCTTGCTATATCCCCAGAGTATGAATTACAAATAGAGGAATACTGGGTAAATGCTAGTAATGTGTTCTATCAGCAGAAAGCTTCTAATTAAAATAACTTACCTTATAACTGAGATAACCAAGTAGTATTGTTTCAAATAGACTTATCAATGCCACTGAAACCTAAAATATAAATTGTACCTTAATGAGAAAATGCAATGAAATTAAAATACATATTCATAATTATAATACTATTGCCTTTATAAATATGTACATAATATGTGTGTATATATGTATATATATTTGGCATATAGGTGTATACATATCTATGTACATTTGTAATGATATATATATGTGTATATATATGATATACGATTTAGGAGATATTATGTGGCACTTCGGTATACAGATGGCAGGCTGCAGGCCGTCCCCAGCACTACGGCTTAGATTTATAATTTCTAATACTCCTTGATAAATATTTTTTATTTATTATCTCAAATGTAAATGTGGGCTACGAATAGACTGGCTGGAGTTTGCATGACATGTGAAGGATGGGTTCTTGTGTGTGTGCTCCTAATACACACAATCACAATCACAGACAACTGCCTGCCCCAGATAACGCCCTCTCCCAGCACCACCACCACCAGCTCCAGTACCACCACCAAAAACAGCAGTTCCTTTCAGAAAATAAAAGAACACAAGCTTCCAGTTGAATGATATGTTCTATCCTGTCACACACCTCAAACAAACTGAAACAGCAATGTCCTTGGACACTGAACGGTCCGTGCAAGCACTTAAAGATACTTTCAGATTTTTTGTGAATGCACTTCACAACCAACTCCCTTTTTGCAGCTGAAAGTGCTAGTCCTGCATCCTCCTAGACAAGCCCCATTTTTCTCTATATTCTCTACTGCATATTCAGTTTTCACTGCTGAGCTACCAAAGCTGTGGTTCCAACAGAAAAAGTAACTAGAAAAGATATCCAAATTATTATGTTAAATAGTCTATGCACTTTAGGATAGATAAATAGAATCAGAATAAGCTAACATAAACAAGAAATGACTCAGATATGCAATATATTTGCTTATAGATGTTTGAGGTTTACGACAATCTTCATTAGAAAGCAGATACTCTGGAGTTTTACATTTTGACTGCAGTTGGAATGAAAACTTTGATCTAAGTATTATTAAACCATAAGGATGGGGGCGGAGTCAAGATGGCGGCGTAGGCAGACTCTGAACTCACCTCCTCCCGTAGACACAGCCAATTTACAACTACTCGTGGAAAAATTACCCCTGAGACAGAACTGAAAACTGGATGAGAGGAACTCCTGCAACAACGGACAATC